CCCACCCCACCTCCCAGCAAACCTAAACAAACAAAAAACCCATGTGGCCATTAAAATCTTTGCAGTGAGCCAAGTCTGGCTTTTCAGAATATGTAAGATTAAATGTTGTATGCAAAGATTTCTGCTGAGTTCTGAGAAAGTCCTAACTTGCTGACAGCCTGATGTTGGAAACTGTTCTGAACCAAGACCTTACAGGTGGCTCACAAGCCATTCTACACAATTATATCCTTCCTGAATGTGGAAACTTGAAAACATTGGTCACTACAAACAAAATAAATAGGCAGAAGAAATATCATCTTGCAATGTTTTTCTAAATTGTATAATGTTGTCTTTCGTATTTATGTCTCACCCACTCCCTGTTTATTTTTGCCTCCTCAGTGTATCTGTTTTCACAGAATTTTCCAGCATGTTTGCCAGGTACCTGGCATTACCATTTCTGGTAACCTGAAACATACCAGTCTGCCTGCCTCAGACTAAGTTCTTGTATCATTTATGCAATTAATATGGTTAAATAATGTGTCTACAATTTCTAAGCTTTTATTTAAATACTAAAGTCCAATTAATTCCTTACAAAAACTTTGGGAGTACCTGCTTGGAATTCGAGGGACTACAAGATGAGTTGGGCTAAACTTGAACTGCTTCTGGTACTTCCAGGAAGTTCACAAGTGTTTCTGTTTCTGTTGAGGGAGGGACAGTTTATGCAGTGTATTTTCCATGAGTTACTGCTTTGGTAAAAGACAGATGGTCTTTTCAAATGGAAATTGCTGATGTTCTAGCAACATCCTATGGCATTGTTTGAAGATTTCACGTGTTCTTCCTTCATATGAAGAAATAAACTGCTTGTATAAAGGTTACAAACCTTGACTAGGGAATACATTTTTTTAAGCAAACTTCTTTGGTTCTGATCAAGATTACAAAGTTTACATGTTGTGCTTTCTGACTTCTCTTGGTATACTTTCTAATGGAAAAGCAAATTACAAGTTTTCTTCCTTCTTTTAGCCAAATAGCAAATTTTTCCTACCTCTTCCAGTGTTATGCATACTATTACTATGCCAAACTAAGGCAGATGATAAAAAGGATTTTTCTTACATTAGTGAACTAGGACCTGACATTTGAAGGAACTCTCAAGAACTGCTTTTATCTTAACAAGAATTAACAAAACTGCTTTCATGAAGACCTAAGAAAGAGTATCGGTTATTATGGGCTATTATCTGAAGGACCCACTAAAAATGACTGGGCTTGTTGTTTGACTTTCCTAAACAAGGATTATTTGGAGGAAAAAAGAGAAACTGTAAATTTTTTACTTGACAAATATGTGAAGTAAATATGCTACTTACAACAGTAATTTGGAATGCACTGGTCAATGTTGTTTAGCAAGATTTAGGAAAATTAGCCTTGTTAATTTGGGATTTTGGCTTCTGTAAATTTCCATTAAAAAGGAGGAGTTGCTATGCTATGCTTTTTTCAGTGATGTAGTAAGTAGGCAAATTAGTAAATTTCTATACTGTCGCCTTCTGGCTAACTTTTTCAGGAAGTCTAACCCTATTTTTTTATTAAGGAGTAATAGTAATGTAAAATACATACATAGAATTATTTAAGGTGACTAACTGTTTTTTTCCTTTTGTCTTGCAGCAACGCACCTCTTGCTTTTTCCTCCAAAGTATGTTATATTAAGTTTCGTGAAGCATCGAGTGTTGGTGTGGCCCAGCATCTAACTAACACGGTTTTTATTGACAGAGCTTTGATAGTTGTGCCCTGCGCAGAAGGTTGGTATTTTAGACATTCTTTTTTAATGTTGGTCTTTGTCATGTCTGCTAATTGTTTTAAGCTTTCCATGTAAGGAGGTGGTGCTTTGTTGTTATTTTATTTTATTTTATTGCTTTTTTGAAAAAAAGTCTTGAAACAAAATTGAAAATTGAATGAAGAAACACAATTATATAGATTAAATTGAAATTCAGCATTAGAAAAAAGATAGTTGATTTAGATTATGATAATTCAATTTTCCATAGCTATTACATATTTTAGGGGAAAAGAAGGTAAAATAATTCCCCTGATACGGTTTGTGTTGGCAAGCTTATTCTCACACAGAGTTCTCACTGAAGTCAATGGAGCACTGAGAAGATTAGGCAATTTCCTGGCACCAATAACATTGCAGTTTGGATCTTAATGTATCACCTTTGCTATTTTTCCAGGTTTTTTTAGACTGAATCCCAATTTTGTCTTGTGATATGTGATATATACATTTGGCCATTTTAGATGAATCTAATGTAAAGTACTTAGCATTCATGGTGATAATTACTACTTGAATATAAATGTTTACCTGCTAGTTTAATAAAAATAATTCAATTTTCCTTTCTTGTTACTGTGGAAAATACTACTTTGTGTGCCATAAAAAGGTTTTTTTATGTATACTGTTACTCCTTTTTGATTTTAGGTATCTCTAAAATGCAATGATCTGTACAGAATGCTTACAGCGTAAAATATTTTTAAAATTCGTAATAAAATAAAATGCTTGGTGAATACTAAATTTACAAGTGTTCTTTTAACTAGCTTAGAGGCCATACTTTTACAGATGTGCTGAATACAAGGTAGTTCATATTGGTAGTATAATATCCCAGATCTGAATACAGGTATATGAAGCATGGCCCTATGATAGGCATATTGCAGGAGTTAGGCAGAGCCCCATTGACTTCATTGGGATCATTGTGGAATTGAGCATCTGCCCATTTGGTTCTGGACTTGTTGCCTCTTTGGAGTGGAAACATTCCAGCTGGTGAAGTGAACCTAACTTCACTTTGAACATGGTAGCTGTTTGCCATGAACAACAATATTTAGAATGATTGAACAATAAACTGCAGCAAGTCCAGAACTACCTCCTATTAACATAACTTTATGTGCAGAAGTCAAGTTTTGGTTCAAAAAATACTGTTGACTTCTTGGAGTTTGTTAACATTCATCCCCGAGTACCATTTTTTGGCATGTTTGCCACATCATGATCTGGATAGTATGAGATTAGTGCCGCTTTAATAATGGTCTGGGATATTCCTAGCAAACTCTGACAAGTCTCCAAAATTTCACAGACTTTATAAGTACTTTCACTAAAGGCTGTATTGACCTACAATATACTGCCTATTCCTGTAGCCTTCTTAATAGGGGCATATGGCACATGTCTTTGCGAAACCTAGATTTTTAGCTGCTTTTATGCCTTGTTGTGGGGGCTTTTTGGTTTTATTTTTTGAACTTGTTCTTAAACTACAAAGAGAGTATTGCTGTATTCACTTGAAGCTCTGTAGAGGCTAATGGGACCAGAGTCCTTATTATTGAAAAATTGCCCCTAAATAATTGAGTACAAATTATTCAGGATCTTAGTTTTACACTTCGTCGAAAAGACCTTAACACTGGTTCAGTACTGCCAGAGAGGGAAGATTGCCGCCTAATGAATGAACAACACTTCCTGGTGTTTTTCTTGTGATGAGATCACTGCCTGACGTGATATGGCAACAGGCAGGTAAAGCTACATTTTCCTGTGTCTCTTGATGGTAGGCAATGAATGGGAAGAGAATAAAATCAAAGTTCTGACAAATCTTGTTCCAACCCCATTTGTAGCTGGCTTACTAGGCATTTCTGAGAAAATGTATTACAAAGAAATTGTCAAAACAGAAAACTGTTCAAAATCATTGTGGACCTCAGAGAGACGCATAATGAGGTGAACAAGTGATTGGGTTGTGAGGTCAAATATTTTTCATGTGAGAATGCTGTTTCCATGTAACTTTCTAACTGAATCACTAATTTTAGTTGATAAAAGATACGAATTTATGTAAGTTTAACTTTCTGAGGAATTTATCGTGTGGAATAAGTATGGCTTTGGAGACCACAAGACCGCAAGATTTTTGATTCTCTATCATGTGATGCATTGTTAATGGAGTCAGTGGAGTGTGTCATGGGCTTTAAAAGTAGCAATGGCTATATTCTATGGGGAGGTAAAATTATATCCTTGGCCAACGGTGCCAGTAATAAAACATTTCACGCGTCAAATCGAACATAGAGGAGAGGTAAAATGGAACTCTGAAAACTTGGTTTTAAAAACCAGAATAAAATCTGAAATTTGGAGTGTATATAGACTGGTAAATCAAGGGAGTATGAGGAGGGAATCACTACACAATGGAAACAATGTTAATATTGTGACATTTAATAAACTATTTAACAAAAATGTAATTGTAAATGCAGTAACGTTATTAAGCTGTCAGAATATGACTTTTTTATGTGTGTATCAGTAGGTTTTTCTTTAAACGTTATACTTTGAGAACACAAAGGTTGAAAGATAAACAAAGATGCCACCCTAATCATTCTAAATTTTATGTCCACATTATCTGGTAGATGGATTTTGACTATTAATTTGGTTTTATATGTTTTCTCTGTGTGATATTTGTGCATTATTAGATGACTAGACTGGCCAAGGCAGACCTGTTACACTTGCCTGAGTTAGGCATTGTTTGCCATGCCACTAAACCTGCCGCCAAGTGAAACCTTCATGGGGGAAATGAGATCGAAGTCTGGCCTGCTGAAGATGGACGCCCTGTCTCTGTTTTTATTTTATTTTGCTTTCTTTCCTTTGTTTCTTTTATTTTTATTTTATTTTGTCCCTTTTTTGTTTTGTTCTGTTAAATCTC